GGGGAAAAAGCTTTTCCCCCTGGCAATCTGGGGCAAAAATCCCATTGCCTTCAGAGAACCTGGATTTCACTCCCAGTCCTTGGAAGACTTTTACAGATGAAGGCAACCTGGAGCCCTGAAATGAATTCAGGTGCCCTGTGTGACCTGGACAAGGTGCTCCTTGCCTTCACTTCCCATCTGGAAGATGGAGCGGTAGCACTCGATTTGCGCCTCATGTTTATTTAAAAGGTGAACTCCTCCTGGCAGGGCAATCCCTCACAACGTGTCAGTGCAATGTCTACTGGAAGGCCCTTGTCTCAGCTCAACCTCTCATACTACACGAAGGCAAACAGTAGGACTTGGCAGGCTGCAGATTTCCAGCTAGAAATCTAACACCAAATAGTTCTCATTCTCTCCTGCTATTGGCACTTGGCCCCATTCATGATGATTTTGGTTTGGTTTGGTGGGGTTTTTTTTAAGAAGGTACAAGACCAAATCCTGAGGGCCCTCTCTCTATCTCCAATTCCTGTGACAATTGGTATTACACTCACAGTCTGCCCCAAAAGTGTCCCATGGTTTTCCATTCTGATTTTAAAACAGCAGAAAGCAAGACAGCGTGACTTCTCTCTGGTCCTGGAGCTGCAGCTGTAATCAGAAGCTGTGTGATGAAGTTCAGCTGGAAGAGCAAAGGAGAGGAGAAAAAAACAAAACACAAACCAAAACAAGGGAATGCCATCAAAGTCTTTCAAAGTCAGAAATTCATTTTACCTTTGTCAATGGCTGTGGTTTTCAAGGATAAAGATCAAAGTGCTGACCGTGGGCAGAGCTATGACAAAGCTGAGATCAGTCTGTTGAACCCTAACATTAGTGCTACAGTTAGACTGTGTCTAGACGAGCTCAGGTTTGGCAAACACGGCAGTGGAGCGCTTGCATCAGAGCTGCAGCAAGCAGAGTGAGGCACCCAAATTGCAGAGGGGAGGGAGCAATCAGACTCCAGCAGAGTGAAACTGGAAAAAAGGATGTTTAGGAAAAAAATCCAACCCCATAAAAAACCCACTCCCAGAAAGACAGCTGAGAAGATCCATCCCTCCCTCCTCCCTCCTGTTTTTTGTATTGTGATTAATGTACACAGAAAACTGAGATAACTGGGGGAAAGTAATGCCAAATTCTTATCAATACAGATGAGCTGGCTTCATATTCCTCCAGCCCTTTCATGTGGAAATGAGACTGCATCTGATGAGGCCAAGCCCATGTTTGAAATAGCTCAGCTGGGATGTGCTCCTGGTGAGGGTTCAGGTGCCTGTGCAGAGAATCCCTCCAGCTGGACCCTTCCTGAGGGCAGAGAGAGCCTTCAGCTTCCTGCCTTTCCCTCTTCCTCCTGGGGAGGACAGAAAATAAATCCACGCTGGGCCTGAGCTGCCCCTGTGCAAGGGGCAAGGTGGGTTTGGCTGCTGAGGGGCCTTGGCCTGCAGGGTCCTCACCTTTCCCTACATTCTCTTGCATGGACCATTAAAAATATGGGTACAGGGATGAACTCTAAGAAACTGTGGCTGCTGGACAGCCCCCAGCACCAGAGCATCTCAAAGCTCCCCAGAGCCTTCAAACCAACCCTTTCTCATCACAGCTCCATTGGCTTCCTCCAGGCAGGGCAAGTTCAAAAGAAGCTGCAGACTGACGTGGGCAAACATGATCCCCAGTGGATGACGACAAAGGGTTTCAGCCGTGCTTCACTTAGGGGAATGAGCTGCCCATTGTCAGGAATATGGTGGAGGACTTGCTGGAAACAATTAGCCAAGGGACTGGTCATACACTATTCTCAGCTCTGCTCCTGACTCACCTGCATGGCCTCAGGGGATTTACTTGCATATTTGTGCCTCAATTTACCCTTGGTAATGGCAGAGATAGTAACAGTCTCATGGAGTGGTGTGAGAATTAGTTAATTAATATTTGGAAAGCACTTTGTGCCTTGACGTCTTTGTGCCTTTGTTTACCCATCAGGAATATCAGAGATAATAACTGTCTCATGGAGAGGTACAAGGATTAATTAATTATTTGAAAAGCAGTTTGAGATCCTTGGATGAAAGATCCTGTGTGAGTAAAACATATCATTAAAAACATCTCCCGGTCCTCTGTGAAGTTAAAATAAAGCTGGAGCTTCTTAGTCATTCAAATAATTAAACCATAAATACTGTTTATTTTAATCTTCCCTTTAAAAAAATAATCTAATCTAGGCAGTGATACCGGCCAAAGAATGAAAAATGTTTCAAATTCAGGAGACCTATCAATTTGAAGAGCTTGATTCTTAATTGCTTTTTGATGTCTATCAATGGAAAGTGAGAGCAGTTGTATTTACAAATGCCTGCAAAAGCACGGGGCAGCTGGGAGGACGCCCACAGCTCCTCTGCAGGGTTTCAGCCTGCACATTCTCATGGACACAGCAGCTGTAGCTGCACAGGGTTTCTCACACTACCCTATTTGACTTGCTAACCAACAGGGAGGTGCAGAATAGCCCATCTTACAGGCATCCCAAGGCCAGCTTCCCCCAAAAACATGGGTGCATTGAAGTGGGGCTGAAAGAGCAACTTCTTCTTCCAGGAACAGCGGCAAAGGGACAATTTGACCAGGCAAAGGCACCGGTCACCAGCAGAAGAATTGATGGAGTCTCTATTTAAGATCATCTTTTATTCAGAGGGGTACATGCCAAATATGGGAAGCCCCACTTCTCTGGGGACTTAGTGTATATTTGGGCATAAAATATATGCAGTTGGCCCACGTATCTTTCTTTCTCTCTAGTTTTTGTTTTACAAAGTCCATATGTGGAGCAGAGACTTGCAGAATCGAGGTCTCAGTTTTTAACTGAAAGGGGGTTCTTTTAAGGTGCGACTACTGCTGGGAACCTGCTGTGCTGGTCACCCCAACCACTACCTTTCCCCTTGTCTCAGCCTTTTCGTGGCCTCCCACTCCTCTCTGGCCTGGAAGATTTTGCAGCCATGGCCGAGTAGCCTGTGTGGGAATGTGGGGTGGAAGAAAGGATGTAATTGCCTTCCAGACTTCCAGCGTTTTCATTAGTTAAATGTCCTCCTGTCTTTCCACACTAGTCCAGCTTCTACTGAATTTTCATCAGACCAGAAGAGGCCTTTAGGGCCATTTGAAAGTAACCATCAGATAAAAGCGATTGTCATCCTCCTTATGCGGCAGGCAAGGAAGCAGACACAGGGAGACTGGTCACACAGGAAGGAGAGGAGGGACCTGGTGACTCAGAGCTTTGATTCCCAGCTGGGAGCTTGAGACGCCACTCCAGCCAAGCATAAAAGCACATGGTTATCTCTCCACTCATGAATAATCCCATTGATTTAAGTCATAAACTTCAGCATCGAGGCCTTAACCATCTGTCTATGCTCACCAAGAGCAGATAAACAGGAGTACAGGTCTGGATGGACACAAGATACTCCTCTGGACATAAAGGAATAGCAGCAAATGGTAGTTTCCCTGGTTTCTAAGAGAAGCAGCAATGGGGATGGAAAGGTGGCTTGGTCCTCAAGATGAGGGGTCACTCAGGGATGACAGAGCTCCTGTGCCCTCCCCCAGGAGCTCTCTCCATGTTGGATGTGAGTGAGCTCAGCCACCTCCCTCAGGATCATCCCATTGGATGCACGTGTGGGGCTGCTTAGCTGGCTGCAGACACTGACCTTTGGCAGTGATTCTCCAGAACACAATGCCCAGCCAATGTGATCCCTGTCTCCAGGCTTTGCTGAAGGGGATCCAGGTTCCCCTGGGAGGTGAATGGGCCATTTGCATATATGATGACACCCACTGTTCTCTCTCAACTGGGATTTACTGAGTTCTTTATCCCTTTGCACACACTGAATTGGGAAATGACCTGGTTGTGAAGCAGAGACTTCCTTCAAAACTCTGAAACCCAGTTCAGGGTACAGTTCACTCCCCCATGGCTGCCTCTAACCTGACCTCTCTAGCACAGGGCTAAGAGATCAAGGGAAATGAGAAGGAAGCCACATTCCTGTTACTGATGGGAGAGCAAGTGAAGCACCTAAATTATATATGGTGTGCCTTCCAGATGGTTGGAGCGTTGATCCCTTCTATTATGCAAAGTAACAGTTCCATAGACACAGTAGAGGGGACTGGAGATACCAGAGCATTTGGGAAGCACAGCTGACTAAAAAGTGTGTTTGGTGACATAGGATTTTATCTGAGTGTCTGTTGTTCAACCTCTCACCAGAAGGAAAGGGTATCAGCTCAGGGAGGGAGCAGAAAGGTTGTGAACCCAACTGGAATTAGGTAATTCTGTTAGCAATTTATAAGGGCAGGGTTTAGGTTTTGCAGACTGGGACAGGAGGTGGTGGCTTAAAAAAATGTTCAATAAACCTGGGTAAAGCCCATTTTACTTCTCACTTACGAGAAGCTCTCGGTTTGGTCCTTTGCAGCTGCGGTCGCTGCCTCGTGATCTCTTAGCTGGAGATGTGTGAGCTAAAGGGACCCGATCCCCATTGCCTAATATGTCCAAATATTCTTCCTGGTCTGCATCCATCTGCTGCCTCATGTCATTCTGGCATGTCGACATGGAAACTGAAGGTGTGAAAGGAAAGCTCCTTCTGCTGCCTTTAGCTCCCGACAGTTCAGATATGGGTGCAATGCTGCCCCGGCACCGTGTGAGGCTCAGCGTGTGCTGGAGCAGTGCTGCACCACATTGCTGGGGCTGGCGCTTCCAAGGGGGCTCCACGGTATAAAAATAGGCCAGGCTTCCCTTATGGCTTCTTGATAACTGAAATTCAACTGATTAAGTCTCGGATTAGGAAGGGTGGCCCTTGTTCTCACTCAGAGCTGGGGTATCAGCTCCTGGGCTGGTTTCTGAACCAGCTCCCTCTGGTAGAAGTAGTTCTTTAAGAATCAGTGGCCAATACTGAATCCAACTCATCCACTTGCACTTGGTTGCAGATTCCCCTAGCAAAGGTGCTGGAGCTTATAATTTGTATTTAATTTTCCTCTCTTTCATTTTTCCCTAGGAATGCAAGGGGGAACAAAACCAGGAAAGGATAGAAGGGATGGAGGAGCCTTGCTCCAGCCTGGTACACTGCTCAAGGACTTGGCAGTCTGACTCCTGATCCAAGCCCTTCCTTTAGACTGCTGCCTGACCTAAGGTAAAGTGCACTATTGCTCAAATACAGGTACATACACCATTCTTTCTACAGCATTTACAGACCAACAGGTGGGAGGCATCCCCCTGGAGCCAGGCACTTGTAATACTCTTTACTAAGGTATCTGCTCCCAAATTCAAGGCATGGAAAAACCAAGGGTTTCATAACAAAGTGTGGAAAACCCCCAATAAATATCGGCTCCAACGCTCCCTTTCAGGCCACACCCCAAGAGAAAGTGAGACTATAATGGACAAATCCTCCTCTGGCAGCGGGCCAGAGCCGGAGCACCCTTTGCCCAGTCCCAACCTACTTCCCACCATGCAAAATCACTGCGGGAACAGGCTGGCACGGCCCAGACAATCCATGGCACTGCACCTTTGCTCATGACAGCAACACCAGCCAACTCACAGCGTCTCAGTGTCTGGCCAAAGCGGGTGGCAGACGGCTGTCTGAAGCTGGGACCTGGGAAAATGGGGATAACATCAGGAAAAAACAAAAACATCTTACGTACCTACTGCTCCCATCTCATCCCACTCTGGGGAGATGCCTCCTTGCCGTGCTCTGAGTCAGCTCCTGGTCTTGTGGTCCTTCAGCTCTCCGTGGAGCTGCTCCGTGCTCGCAGGCTTGGGGCTGTTGGCACGTCCCGTCCTACCTGCTGTGTGTGAGGACTTTGCAGCCAGCGCTGGGAACCAGTGGCTTGGCTATTTCCACCCTGTTTCGGCTGGTTTGGCCCACCTGTGTGTGTGTGAACACAGCAGCAGCCTCCCCCGTGGGTCAGCAGGTCAGGATGGAGCAACAGCACCTACCTGGGAGTATTCTCTGGCTCCTTTGAAAAATCTCCCCAGATTTCCATTGGATCTTAGGTTACCACAAAGTATCTGCCTGGATCTGGGCTTTGATTCTCCACTCTGTAGCTTTATCCCAGGCTGGCTGGGGCAGTGCCTTTCCCTCAGAGACCACAACTGACAGCTCTCCTCTCAGGGAGAGGGAGGGATGGGGCAGTGGTTGCGTTTTGAGGGTGGGGAGAGGGAAAGGCTGTTTGAGGCCACTGTTTGCACGGGGCAGCTGCAGGAGTGGCGAGGATGATCAGCAATCATCTTCTTTCTCCTTCCCTGGGTGGCTAACTCCATCTGGGGGACCACACTGCTGGCTCTTCCACTGCCTCCCTCCCCAGATCCCACATTCCTGGCTCTCCCTATGCCGCTGTGCCACCCCAGCTCTCCACCAACCCCTCTACTGCTCCCCAGGCGAGTCCCTTCAGCTGTGGTGTGGCAAAATTCAGTTTTGTCCACATGGATGAGAAGTGTGGGCTCTTCATACAAATACCGTCCTGCCTGCAGGGAGCAGGGTGGGAGCTAGACCACACTGGGGCCTCTCATTTCCTGCAAAGGCATGTTTGCAAGGCACTCGTGGGGAGCACCAGGCAGCTGAGGGACAGCGAAGGGCAGGGCCAGCTCCCCAGCGAGGGAAAAGTGGGTTAGATCAACAGTTACCCAGGTTTCCAGCAGCTGTGGGGCTGGCCAGGGGACACTGAGGTAGGCTTGTCATGCTGCATGGATGGCTCACCTCCTCAGCAGCTGTAAGGCACACGGGTGGCCGAGCTCCACCAGGACAGGCGTCGTCTGCCCCACCGGCTTTGCTGCTGCAAGTGGCTTCATCTCTGCAGAGGAAGCACAAACAGAGAAGCTGGAACTGCCAAGTGGGAATTCAGTTTGTATTCACACCCAGAGCTGGCCAAAGAAGGAGAAAACATCCGTCTCAGAAGGGTTTTCAAGATTTGGCTTCATGTTTCGGTATGTTCAAACACAATCTGTCTACTCCCATCAGGAAAAACAAGAGGAAGAAAAAACAGCCCAGTCTTTAGAAGTCAGGGCTGCCATGGCTAAAAAGTACATGAAGCACATGGCTAAAATTAGGTTAGCCTGAACCCATGACATGAACACAAACCCACACCCCCTAACTGGATACTAGGGGGTTCCTTTCTCTCTTGTTGTGCTAAGAAATTCTGGGCAGAATATCAGGAAGTCAAATGCAAAAAAACCCCTCTTAAAAGTAATAATAATCCTCCTTCCAAAATTAAAGCTCAGCTGTGGAGCTTCCACGTTCCTCAGCCATGTATGTTTTGTGTTTGAGAAAATTCCTGGTAGGGTGTAAAGATTTTACCTATCTGAGCTTTGCATAGTTTCATTATTAGTAGGCCACAAATGAATGGAGTGGATGATGCAAAAATGAGTGCCAATAAAATATTTACACCAATTCTTCATTCTGTGTGAAACAGCTTTTATATGTATGTATATAGGTAATACTATAAATAATAGAAATTATGCTCGTATTTTATAGCAGGGATGTAAACGCTGGTCCCAACAGCAGTGGCAAATGAACCACTCACATTTTCTGATTGCATAATTTGCCTAGAGGATGAATACATAATTACACTATAATTAAGTATAATAAACAGAGAAAATGATTTGAGAAGGAAAAATTATCACAGCCTCAACCACATCAGCCAGAAGCTCTCTTCTAATTAAGTTATTTTATTAAACAAAATGTTTTTAAGGTGGGTCCCCTTTGAAAATGTACATTATAGCCCATGTAATGCAATTTACTTTATAAGTAAAACACGGCTTGTGTACGGACAGACCATATCTGATGGGCCCCATGAAATACACAGCCACTGGGTCCAGCCCAGCCAGGTGCTGAGTCCCTCACACCCCAGTCTAAGGAGCAGACCCCAAGTGCTGCTCTGGGAAACTGCAGCCTTTTATTTGCATCACTGATGGGCTCTTTGTCTATTGCTTGGTTGGTTTTTTTTTTCCTGATTTAAAGGGAGAAATGCTAGCAGGGAATTCTGATGTTGTCATCCTGTCATGAAACAGTGGAGGCCAAGGACAAGAAAAGAGGTAGCTCAAGCTGGCCCAAACAGCTCATGCTGTTTGGAGTTGAGTCTCAAATGGTGTTTTATTCCCTCTCCAATGCTTTACCCTCACTGATCCTGCTCAGTGCTTGACAAGAAGAGAAGACGGACCTGTCTTTTTTGTTACTGTATCTGAAGAAATCCAAAATAGTGGTTCCTGATCTGAAGGACTCAGGAGGATCACCTAATCTGCTCCCCTACACAGCAAAGGCCACCAGACACCCTCCAGCTCATTCCTCTTGGAACTACAGCTTATTTTTCTAAATACCTGCCCCCAGCCAGCTGGGGACTTCAGGAGTTATGAGAGGAGCCTTGGAGCATTGCTCTGCAGTCAGACGTGGCTCCTGTTTCATTCCCCACTATCACAGAAAGGAAAAAATGTTCACCCTCAAGTTTCAGCCATAAGATTTCTGGATACATCTG